CAGGAACCCTCAGTCCAGTGTGACAAACTCCAATTAACTCAGGGAGTGACAAACTCTCCTATTTGGGGGAGAGAGATGATGTTGCAGCAGGAGAATTTGTTGGAAGTGCCTCCTAATAAAGTTTAACCCTCCAAGACTTTTCCTCCGGCTGTGGCAGATGTTTGACAGCTGGAGGCTGTGGTTTGAGCTGGTGGCTTTGCCCCATTGTCCTAAAAGTCCTACCCCCTGGAAGCCCAGCCTTGTTCCAAAGCCCAGCCCTGGAACCAGAGTCACTCCTGGCGAATTTTGGACAGTGAGCCCACAAATCATCCCCTTTGGCACAGGGGAGGAACAAATGGCCACGGGCAGGAGCTCGGGCACTGTCCAAGTGGGTCCTGCTGGGAGATTTCCTCCTGCTTCAAACCCTGGCCAGAGCTTTGTTTGTTCTGTGAAATTTTGGTGGCCGGGGTTCTGTTTCCTTCAGCAGGGTGGGAGACCCGTGCCAGCCCCTGTGCCCACCTCCAGTGCCACCCTCTGTGCCCGCCCCCGTGCAGGCTCACGGCCGTGTGTCCTGCTCTGAGCTGGCAGCAGTTGCAGGGTGCACTTGGGAGGATGTTTCCATGTGTCTTTTTAGCCTTTTCCAACACAACCCGAGGGAAGTCTTGTGGAATCTTCTTGGAATGTTGACAGAAACTCCCCGTGAGCCGTCAGCGTGCGCTCCCAGCCCGGAAAGCCAAGGGAATCCTGGGCTGCATCCCGAGGAGAGTGGCCAGCAGATCCAAGGAGGGGGTTCTCCCCCTCTCCTCTGCTCTCATGAGACCCCACCTGGATTGCTGCATCCAGTGGGGAAACTGAGGTTTGATGTGTGGAAGGAATTCTTCCCTGGGAGGGTGGGGAGGCCCTAGCACAGGTTGCCCAGAGCAGCTGTGGCTGCCCCATCCCTGGAGTTGTCCAAGGCCAGGTTGGAGCACCCTGGGCTAGCAGAAGGTGTCCCTGCCCATGGCAGGGGGTGGCACTGGATGATCTGAGGTCTGTTCCAACCCAAACCATTCTGGGATTCTCTGACAGTCTCTGTGCATCCTCCTCTCACCAAGTTATTTTTGCCACCTGCAGCTTCCACGCCAGGGTTTTGTTTCCCAGATTTTGCTGCTTTCTCCTTTTTTCCTAGGGGTGTACGTTCCAGAGGGCATTTTCCTTCATCAGTTTATGTTTTGGCTTCAAGGCCTTTAGGAAAAAGCTGGGAGGAGTTTTTGTGGGGTTGGTGGTGGCAAAGTGCAGCTTTGGAGAGGCAGGAGGTGGTTCAGAGGTGGGTTTGTCCCTTGTACACGGGGTGTTCATCACCTGGGCAGGATTTTACCTTTAGACCTGGTGCCTTCTTCAAAGGGCTCTGCAGGTACCTGTGTTCTGGTCTATCATGAAACTGTGAGTGTATTAACTGTGTTTAGCAAGATTAAAGCTGGTTTTCTGGTGTTCCTGAGTAAACAAAGTGACTCCTGGGTGATCAATCCTGCTGTGTTTCACTGTTCCCATCGGGATCGATGGCTGAGCGTTGCTCTGGGGGTGGGCACAGGATTTGGCTCCAGTGCTGGTGCCTGAAGGCAGGTTTGTTCCCACCAATAGTCACAACTTCAATCAAAGTCACCCCTGACTCAAAAGGGTTGGCATTATCTGCTCCTCCCAGATCAATAGTGGGGGAGCAGTGGGGAACTACTTGAAAGTCCCAAACCTTTTCCTGGAGGAAGGATTCCTGGTCCTGGAAGTCCTTTAGCAAGCGAAAGTCATTGATCTTGGCTGGGTGTCTTGGGTTTTTTCTCTGCCATACAAAGGTTTCAGGCAACAGGTACAGGATTTCAGTCACAGTAGTGTCTCAGCTCAGTTTTGGAGGGAAGAGTCTCCTGTAAAAGTCATTGCAATTAAAAGCTCAGCTCTTTGTGTGCACCGAGATCGTCCCTCTGGAGACGAGTTTAGTGTTTCCTCACAATGGTTGAAAATTAGAAGGTTTTCATAATATTTCAGGTTGTTACTCTCTCACAAAGACCCAGAGTGAGCCCAGCTGAGCCAAATACCTTCACCCTTCTTTTCAAGAACTAATGGGGGCTCAGACTCTGCTGAATCCTCCCTTTTAGCATCTATAGTGCCGAGAGAAGAGCTGGTTCCCATCCTCACCCTCAGCACAGCAGAGCTGCCACTGAAAGAGGCTTTCAGTGTGCTCAGAATAGGCAGATTCTGCTGTGAAATGTCCCTCAGTGATGCTGAGGGAGGGAAGCTCGTTAGGGCACTGCTTAATTGAGGCCTTCTCCTCAGAATTCCATAAGGAAGCAGCAGCTTGGCCGGGCTGTGACAGCCCTGGGCTTGTCCCGCTGCCTCCCGGCCTGTGGGACACCAGGAGCTGGGAAGGAGGTGACAGGAGATATTGCCACTGTTCATCCAAAATCCATCAGTGTGAAGTAGCTGGGAAAGAAATTCCCTTCTCCCAAAGCTTTCCCTGGGTGTTCCCAGCTCCTTGGAGCTGGAGGGGGACGGTCGGACAGGCAGCGGCTTTGGATGTGTCTCCCTGAAATACTTGGACTGATTCTCCCTTCCCATGAGCTCCTTGGCCATTTTGTATTAGTACCTTAATTAGTTTAATTAGATGAACGTACATTATCTAGGGTAGGTGTTAAAATGTCCTTTAGGTGGGATTAAACGTGGAAAAATTTTGTGTTTCGCTGCCTCTGCTCTGCAGAATTCCAGAGTTCTGGGTGATGACACTTGTATGGAGGCAAAAGACCCTTTAGTTAATTGATTAAGCTTTGCCTGAAGTAGTTTTACCTTTTAATTAATTCAATAAGCTTTGCATGAAGTAGTTTCTGATGCAGCATGTATTTTGACTCTTTGCTCCCGGTTTATTGACTAAAAATTGGAATTGCTGGAGACAACCTTGAAGAAAAGGTGGGATGAAACCTGGAGACAATCTTGAGGAAAAGATAGGATAAAACCTGGCTTTGGTTATTTTTTTTCCCCTCCCTGGGTGTGAGTAAAGCTGCAAATACTGGGAAGGCCTCTCTGGAGCAGATGGTGCTGGCACGGATCCTCCTCAGGACGGAATTCAAGTTCCTTTCCTGAGGCAGCTCCTCCCGGCGTGTCCTGCTGCCTGAACTTTGGTGGCATTTCTAGGCCCAGCTTAAAAATAGCAGAAGTATTCCCAGGGAGATTGTGTTGGGATGGAAGTTTGGGGATGATTTCTCGCTTCTCCACCGGCCTTCAGCCCGATTTTCCCGGCGAACGATGTTTTCCCCGGGCGATCCAGAGGAAACCTCGGGCACCTCTGGCTCCTGTGCTTCATCTCAGGGCTGGGAGACGCTCTTTTCCTTTCTGTGTTCCTGCAAAACATTTGTGGAGCAAACCATTCCCATGGCTTTGGATCAATGTGCTGCTTCCCTCCAAATCCTGACCCTGAAAGAGCAGTTTTTGTTCTGGGTGACAAGGCCCGGGATCTCCTCGGGCAGGGCCGCCCTGAGGGTGGAGGGGTTGCTTAAAGGGCCTTTTTGTTTAAAAACTGCAACAATTTCCTTTGGAAACGAAGCTCTTGTGGTGAAAACGGTGCCTCTTCTCCCTCCATTTGTTTTGCTCTGGGATATTGTGCAATATTGGGATTTACAGTTGGATTTTATCCTGGAGTGGGCCTTGGGAGGCTGCGATTTTACGCCTAAAATTCCTTTGAAGACTCCCCGGGGAAGAGCTTTAGACTTGCAGCTCATTGTTTGGAAACAAATTCCCATAGAAGTCCCTCTGAAGAACCCTAAAAGTTTGGAGTTTCTAAAATTTCAAGGCAAAACTGTTGGTTTGCCTCTGAAATGAAAAATGGTTTTACCCAGTTAAAAATGGTAAAGGCAACCTTGGTGCCCTGGGTATGGAATCTGTCCAAATTAGTGGGTTTAATTCCAGAAGGTGAGAGCACTTGCTGTCTCTGCAGTGAGTTCATTGCCACACTCAGCCATTAAAACACAGATTTAGCAGCGTTTTGACTGATAATTTTAATTTTTATTTTATTCTCCCTGTTTTGTTTTGTTTTCCCAGACACAGTGAGTACTTCTGGTAGCATCTGGAATACTGCTTGGCTAGTTTGAAATCAATTTAAATCCAAACACGTATTTTCCTTGGATTTAAAAGCCACTTTTGACAGTGTTACTGCACTTTTTATTCCTTCACAGCCCAGCACTGCCACCTCCTGAGGGTTTGGGATATTGGCTGTGCTGCTTCTCTGACATGGAGAATATTTTCAGAGTTATGTTTGCAGCTGAAATGCCACAAAAACATTTTTTTCTTCTCTTACAAATTTCCAGCATAACCTTAAAAAAAAAAAATCCATTTTAAAAATTGTGATTTCGTCCTGAATTGTTTGAGATTTTTTTTCCCCTTTGAAATTGTGAAGCAAATTGAGCAATTTAGCTTTTCACATTGCAAGATGTTTTGAAATTTTGCATCAGTATTTCTTTAAAGAATTATCTGATGCTTTGTTTTATCTATATACATTGCAAATACAAAGGATAATGAAGCTACCTTTAAAAAAAAACCCTAATTTTTGAATTTTTGATGTTGTCTAGCACATGAAAACCCCAAACATGGGGGAAAACTGTTGGTTTTGAACCTAAACTGAACAGGATGGAGCATTTTGATGGAAAACTTCTACCCATTGAATAGATGCTGAAGGTATTGAGAAGGTTTGTGACCCCCATCCTCATGAGACACAACTTTGTGCCATGAAGGGGGGCAGATGTTAAGCCCATGGTCTATATTTAGCCCATATCCAATCTCTGGGATGATCCTGGTATCAGGAGTTCCTGACTAAGTGGATTTTTTGGTCAGAACCTCTTCATATCCCCACTTACAAATATCCTCTTGGGGGAACAGAGGGGAGAAAAACTGTAACATCTCCCCATCTTTTCTGTGAAATTCATTAAACCCGATTCATTTTTTAACCGATATTTTGTTTCCTGCCCCTCTTCTTCCCCTCTCCCTTCGTGTTTTCCCCTCCTCAGCTGCCACACTGGAAATATGGGGTCGGAAAACCCGAGCCCGCAGAACCCTGGCTGTAAGATCATGACCTTCCGGCCCAGCCTGGAGGAATTCCGGGATTTTGGGAAGTACATCGCCTACATGGAATCCCAAGGAGCTCACCGGGCAGGGCTGGCCAAGGTGAGTTGTCCCAGCTCAGGGAGTTGGGAGCTGCCTGGAGGTGCCTTCCCGAAGCTCTGGTTGATGTTTGGGGGGGTGGGAAGTTCTCTTGCTCAGCAGCAGTTGGATTTCTTGTCGTGTTTTGGGAATTTGCTCTTGGAATCTCTGCTTCAGTTATGGAGAGAGGAGAGGCAGAGGAGTTCCAGTAGAGTCATGGAACACTCTGAGCTGGAAGAGACCCCCAAGGATCATCAGCCAAACTCCAGGCCCTGCCCAGGACACCCCAACAATCCCCCCTGTCCCTCAGAGCACTGTCCAGGAGTTCTGGACATGTTCCCCAGGGTTTGCTTTTGTTCTTCTCCACCCCCTGCCCCTCTTTATTTAAGGAGTTGGGGCTTCATTTGTCCCCTACAAACACAGAAACATCCCCAGCAACAATGCAGCAGGATTTCTGTAGAATCCTGGAATATCCTGAGTGGGAAGGGACCGACCCACAAAGATCACCAGGACACCCCAACAATCCCTCAGAGGATCATCCAAACCCTCCTGGAGCTCTGGCAGCCTTGGGGCCGTGCCCACTGCCCTGGGGAGCCTGGGCAGTGCCCACCCACCCTCTGGGGAGGAAGAACCTTTCGCTGAGATCCATCCCAACCCCCCTGGCACAGCTCCAGCCCTTCCCTTCAGTCCTATAAAGACGTGTCAACTTGCAGGATGTCTTTCCCTGATCCCTAAACGGAAAGCAAGGATATCCCTTCCACTTTCAGACATGGGCTGAGGGTGTTTATGGCCTGATTCTTTTGCTGAGGACACACATTGTGGTGGCCATGATCCTCAAGGGCTGCAGGTGGGAGGTTTTCAGCTCCCCCTGAGTGTGGGATAAAGAAGGATCTCAGGTTTGGATATCTCTGTAGTGCCAGGAATGGCTTCCCACTGCTGGAGGGCAGGGTTAGGTGGGATATTGGGGAGCAATTCTTGCATGTGAGGGTGGTGAGGCCCTGGAACAAGTTCCTTCCCACCCTTATCTTTACACTCAAAGTCAAGAAACACTGTGAGAACTTTTCACGTGAAGCTTCTAAATTCCAGTACAACTGCTTGGAAAAACCCAGGACTAAGTGATTAGAAGGAGTATTTCTGTGGCCCTGTCACCACAGGGCTGTTGGGATCATTTGTCCTGACAAGGAGCTGTTAGGTGTGGCATTTAGCAGGGCTTAATAAAGCACAGAGGAGAAATAAAGCTGTTAGGCATGAAATAATTCTTATTTCTTCTAAAACATAGGTCACTTACTGGGTTGATTATGGTTCTAAAGAGAGCTGGCTCTTGATGAAGAGCTCCCAGGAAATGTTTCCTTGTCCACTCAAGTGTACAAGCAATTACCTGCCAGGAGTCTGCCAGGGAGATTATTGTAATAAGGGTTGTTGGTGAATTCCAGATGTTGTAAAGAAATCACTTGACTTTTAGGATTAATCTGAGCTTTTCATTCGTGTCTCTCTTGTAACTGCAGCTCAGAGCCTTGTAAGGGAAGCTGAGCTCACCCCACCCTGGAGGAACCATTGCCTGCAACTTGGCCTCCAGTTTTTGCAACTTTTTTTTGGTCAATCCTTAATTCCAATTAGATTGCAAATATCGTATTTTTTCATCCCAGTGATGGTTCTCTGCTCCTGAGCCTGGGATTGGTGGCAGCTCTTTGGTTTAAAATTACAGCTTTTTCTTCCACATTCAGCCCTGCTTTGCAGCAGTTTTTTTGTGCAGCCTCCAAGAACTGAGGGAACAGTTCTGGGCACGTTCCCCCTGGTTTTCTTTTGTTCTTCTCCACCTCTTACCCCTCTTAAATTAAGGAGTTGGGGCTTGATTTGTCACATACAAATGCAGAAATGTCAACAGCAGTAATGCAACAGGATTTTTGTAGAATCCTGGAATATCCTGAGTGGGAAGGGACCCACAAGGACCATCAGGACACCCCAACAATCCCCCCCTGTCCCTCAGAGCGTTGTCCAAACTCTCCTGGAGCTCTGGCAGCCTTGGGGCCGTGCCCACTGCCCTGGGGAGCCTGGGCAGTGCCCACCACCCTCTGGGGGAAGAACCTTTTGCTGAGATCCATCCCAACCCCCCTGGCACAGCTCCAGCCATTCCCTCAGGTCCTTTGAGTCTTTCTAGTTAAAAAAAACCCAAACAAATGAAACAAAAAACCTCCTCACAGCCTCAAGAAATTGCAAATGTCAGTGATCTTCTGCTGGAAAGGTTGTTCAGGCCACTATAAAAGGTTATGGACTTGCAGAGATGCCACATGGTGATAAAGCTGCTGCTCAGGAGTCTGTGCAGCTTTGTGGGATGGCAGGGGGGAGAGGGAAGGTGTGTGCAGTCCCTCTGGCATGCAGCACATTTCCTTGGAATAACTCTGTGTCTTCCATCAGCACTGGCCATCCTGTGTGGGCCTGGACTCGGCGCTGGTGAGGCCACCCCTGGAGTGCTGTGTCCAGTTCTGGGCCCTCAGCTCAGGAAGGACATGGAGGGGCTGGAGCAGGTCCAGAGGAGAGCAACGAGGCTGGGGAAGGGACTGGAGCACAAGTGCTGGGAGGAGAGGCTGAGGGAGCTGGGGCTGTTCAGCCTGGAGAAGAGGAGGCTCAGGGGAGACCTCCTCACTCTCTGCAACTCCCTGACAGGAGGGGGGAGCCAGGGGGGGTTGGTCTCTTTTCCCAGGCAACCATCAGCAAGACAAGAGGGCTGGGTCTGAGCTGTGCCAGGGGAGGTTAGGTTGGAGATTAGAAAGAATTTCTTTGCAGAGAGGGTGCTCAGCCATTGGAATGGGCTGCCCAGGGAAGGGGTGGATTCTCCATCCCTGGAGGTTTTTAAGCTGAGACTGGATGTGGCATCAGTGCCATGGGCTGGGAACCACAGCGGGGTTGGATCAAGGGTTGGATTGATCATCTCGGAGGTCCCTTCCAACCTGACTGATTCTGATTCTGTGACTGCTCTGGGTGGGCTGTGAGCCCCCCTGCAGCTCTGTCAGCCCAGCAGGTGTCCTGTTATCCAAGCCCTGCAGCACTGGGATGAGATCCCTTCCCTTCACCAGCCCTTCCCTCAGCAGTTGCCTTTTGCCCGTCATGAACACCAAGCGTCATTCGTCCCTTTTCTCCCCCCCAATTCCAGGTGATTCCTCCCAAGGAATGGAAGCCCCGGAGAACCTACGACGACATCGACGACATGGTGATCCCAGCTCCCATCCAGCAGGTGGTCACTGGGCAGTCAGGGTTGTTCACCCAGTACAACATCCAGAAGAAGCCCATGACCGTGGGGGAATATCGGCGCCTGGCCAACAGCGAGAAGTACGGTGCTGTCCAGGGGTGTGCTCGAAACTGGGCAGGGGGGAGTTGTAGGGAAAGCTTTTCTTCTGCAAAGGGAAATGCAACCTTGTGAAGTTTGAAGTGTTTTGGAGGAAAGTGCTTTTTCTTCAAAGCTTACACCCAGAGGCTCAAAAAAGTTTATGCGTTGCTGGGGTTTTGGTGCATCTCAGAGCTTTTTCTGGTAGTTGGTGTAGAAGAATTCTTCAAGGATTTGCCTGAGAATCTTCCTGAAAATAGTGGCTTGGGACTGAAAAAGGAGCTCCTGGTGTATTAATGGTAGTTCTGGAAAATATGTTCCATTGCTGAGGTAGAAATACAAATATCTTAGAGTGTCTGAGCTGATATTGGTGACACAAATGTCTCCTGAGCTCACATTGGTGACAGGAGTGTCTCCTGAGCTCACACTGGTGACACGAGTGTCTCCTGAGCTCACACTGGTGACAGGAGTGTCTCCTGAGCTCACACTGGTGACACGAGTGTCTCCTGAGCTCACATTGGTGACACGAGTGTCTCCTGAGCTCACATTGGTGACAGGAGTGTCTCCTGAGCTCACATTGGTGACACGAGTGTCTCCTGAGCTCACATTGGTGACAGGAGTGTCTCCTGAGCACACACTGGTGACATGAAGTGTCTCCTGAGCACACACTGGTGACATGAATGTCTCCTGAGCTCCCACTGGTGACACAAATGTCTCCTGAGCTCACACTGGTGACATGAGTGTCTCCTGAGCACACACTGGTGACTCGAGTCTCTCCTGAGAGCCAGGGACACTGCAGAGCACTTCAGTGAGCTGGGATGAGCCAGCTGGTGCAAACTGCAGGTCCATCCTGTTTCCAGAGTCACTTTTCCAGAGGTCTGGAGTACCCTGGGTTTTAATCAATGCTGACATTGGGCAGTTATGGCTTTAAGATGAAGGAGGGGAGATTTGGATTGGAGATCAGGAAGAAATTCCTCCCTGTGAAGGTGGGGAGGCCCTGGCACAGGTTGCCCAGAGCAGCTGTGGCTGCCCCATCCCTGGAAATGTCCAAGGTCAGGTTGGAGCAACTTGGGATAGTGGGAGGTGTCCCTGCCCATGGCAGGGGGTGGCACTGGATGAGCTTTAAGGTCTCTTCCAACCCAACCCATTCCATGAGAATGGAAGCTTTGAAGTTTTTCTGATCCCTGAGTGCTTCCCCTGCCTTCAGCTCCCCGTGAAACAACTTCATCCCACATTTCCTTGGGATGGGGATCTGGTGCTTCCCGTCCCTGAGGGGTCTGGTGGAAAGGTTGGAAAGGCAGCAAATGATACGAACCAAAACTGAAATGCACCTTGAGTAGCTCCTGCTCTGACACCCCTGCTGCTTCCCAGGGGTTTATCTGGGGGATATTCCTTAGGATCTCTCACATGCCCATCTCCTCCGTGTCCCTCCCAGGTACTGCACTCCTCGACACCAGGATTTCGAGGACTTGGAGCGCAAGTACTGGAAGAATCTCACCTTTGTCTCTCCAATTTATGGGGCTGACATCAGTGGCTCCCTGTATGATGCAGTAAGTGAAATGCTCCTCTTTTATTCCTTCTTCCTTCTGTAACTTCCTGATTGCTCTTTTCTCATTAATTAATAATTTCTTTGATTGAGCCGCCCTTAAAAAAATAATACCTTTATTATTATTTTTTCCCTCGTTACAAAACTGAGACTAAACTTTCCACCTTCTTCAGAGGCTCGGGATAATGGTGGCATAAAGGAAGCTGGGAAAAGCTTAGTTTTAGTAGAAAAATATGATTTAAACAAGTTCTTATGAAGTGGATGGCCAAAAATTATGTATAGCTTGGGTTTTGTTTCTTTTTTTAAGGGAATAAATAAACCAGAGATTTCTGCTGAAGATCCTTAGAGAGCCAGAAAAAACCCCAGCATTTCAAGGAATTGGTGCTTCATCAAAAATAGGGTTTTTTGATTCTTAACACAAATTATTTGTGTTTGGATTTGAAATTATTTGCATTTGGATTTTTTCTTTGTGAGCAGCTCCATTAGGATACAATGCACCTGCACACTGAATTATTTCACAATTCAAATGGTTTAAGCTTTTCCTTGGTGAAATTTCATCCTCTGCCTAAAGTAATTCTGCCGTGGTCTCTTCTGCTGGAGATGATAAAGGTTCTTCTCTTCTTTCCCTGTTTAGGCAGATAATTTAAATCTCTCCTCTGTAGTTTTCTTTGGAGTGGAAAGTGGCTCTTTTTTGGAGTGTTTTCTGATTGTCTGAGTGTGGAAGCGTTAATGTAAAAGTGTCTTTTTATTATCAGTGGGGTTTAATGTGGAATTAATTGGAATAAGCAGAGGTATCTGAGGCCTTCAGAGCCATGGGCATCACAGGTATCCCTAGGATTTGGTGCTTGGATGAGAGTATCTCATTCTGTTATAATATAGGATTAGAATTACACTATAAAGTAGATAGACTATATAATATAAAGAATGTAGATTATATAAATTACAATATAAAATTATAATGTTTTTTAATATCCCCATTCTTTCCCTGGTGTGATCAGGGCAGGTGACATAATGAGACACTCCTTCTTTAGGAGAAGTAGCTCCTGCAGTGAACTCCATGTACATTGGGTTTCCTGTGAGCAGAAATGAAATTTGAATTACCAATCACACCTAAAGATCATTTCCTGTTCTCAAAGTGCTGCCATTGCTGCAAGAATTGAGGTGGGAGAGTCCCTGAAAGTCGTTCTCCCTCTGCATCATCTCACTTTTCAGCCACTTCCCTCCTTCAGCCCTTTCCTCCCTGCCCCTGGTTTGGTTGTTTTTCGGGCTGATTTGGAAAGTTTCAAGACTGAGCAGCCTGAGAAAAAGATTTGGAAAGTTTCAAGACTGAGTTTCGCTGTCCTGCTGCTCCAGAAGCAGCATCTTGGAGCAGGGAATGCTCCCATCCCTCTCACTTTCCTCCTCACAAATCAAGTGCACTTGGAAAAAAGGGTGTGAAGGAGGCTCTGAGTTTCCTTTTGGAGACTGTATCAGTCTTCAGGTTTGAGATTTGCTCCAGTTAATGGTACAAATTCAAATTCTCAAATTCATGTTGAGGCAGAGAAAAGCAAGTGTCAGATTTAGAACTACCTGCTGCTTTTTTTGTGTTATTGATAAAACCAGGACTGTCATCCCTGTTCTTTCCCTGAAACACTGAGCTGAGGGGGGAAGATTTTGCCTCTTTGGCCACATTAAGGTCACATTATGATGTTCATCAGGTGGAGAAAAACTGCCTGGAATGTCTTTGGGAGAAATGTGTTTTACCCTGAGTTTATCTTGTGTTTATTCACAGAATAGTTAATTAATTAGTGGGGTAATTTATAGTGCAAATGCCTCTTCAAAGAACACTTTAGTGAGGGGCTGGTGAGCCTTCCTGCTTGTGGTCAGTGCTGGACATGAAATAAAGCTTTCTGGAAGCAGGTGGAATTCAATGAATGCAGGTGATAACACCCTTATATCCAGCATTTTAAGGCATTGAAAGGAAGCTGTGGGCTGTGATTCTTCCTGAGAAGTTCCAAACATTTCTCCTGAATTCCAGGACGTGGATGAATGGAACATTGGCAACCTGAACACCCTCCTGGACATGGTGGAACACGAGTGTGGCATTATCATAGAGGGTGTCAACACTCCCTACCTCTACTTTGGGATGTGGAAGACAACTTTTGCTTGGCACACAGAGGACATGGATCTCTACAGCATCAACTACTTGCATTTTGGGGAGCCAAAATCCTGGTAAGTGAGGGCTGTTGCCCTCTGCTTGGAGAGCCCTGAAAAATCCTTTTCTCCAGATCTGCCAAATTCCATCAGATTAATAACCTCTCCATTCCCTTTTTTTTTGCTCTGCTCTCCTCCTCTACATTTAAAAGCAGTTTGACTTTCTTTCGTGCTGCCTTGCTCAGAGGGCCTGATTCCTGACTTTTAGGGAGACTTGTTGACATCATGATTAAAACCAGATTTCAACACTTGGGGGATTTTTGCAAACTAATGCACAGCAGAGCAAGTGGTGATGGGAGTGTGTGGATGCTTCAGATGCACTGTCATAGTGAAAGTCTGTTGTTCTTGCACTGTGCTGTAGGCAGGAAACATCTGTTGCTTTAAAATTTCCATTATTCAAATCCATAAATATGTTTACAGCTCCAGGGACAAACTAGGGCGAAGGGTTATTTTTCCATAGTCAATTTTTGGCACGATTGCAAGCATCTTTTAACACTGTTGGTGCACAGGCTGGTTGAAAATAACTTTCCACAAAAGTAATCAATAGTTAAGGGTGAAATTAAGAACGTAGAGAAGTCTGGAATAAGTTCCCAGGAGCCAATATCCTTCTTTTTCGAGCAGTTTAAAAGTATAACCACAGAGACTTTGCTGAAGATCTTGGTGTGACTAATAAATATTGACATTTGCCTGCAAATTAGAGCTTAAATGTCACAGTGGAGCTGCTGTCATTGTGCCCTGGCAGTGGCAGGTGAGATCCCATCCCTCAGCCCGATGAGTCCCTGGTGACACCGAATATCTCCGGGAATGTTGGTGCCTGTGGGCTCATAAAAGCCCCCAGGAACCAGGAGGCTTTAATGAATGGCTCTAATGCTCTTTTCCAGCCCTGGAAAGGGGTGGAAGGAGGGGCTGAATCTGCTGTAGCATTAATGTGAATTTTAAAACTCCTTCCGACACGTCGGGAGATGTTTCTGACATTCCCGATCCTTCGTCTCCCTCGTTCAGGTGGGTTTTTGCAGGATCTCTTGTGGTGCCTCTGTTAAACAAGCCTGAGTTGAAGAAAAGGATTTCTGGATTGTAAATGGGGTATGAAATGCTCTCAGGAAAAGGTTCTTCCCTCGGAGGGGACACCAAAGTTTCAGCACCAAACCTGCCCGAGCTCCGGGAGTGTTCGGACAACGCTTTCAGGGACGGGGGGAATTGTTGGGGTGTCTGTGCAAGGCCAGGAGTTGGGCTGGTGATCCTTGGAGGACTCTCCCAGCTCAGCATATTCCAGGATTCAGTTTTTCCTCCGGAATCATCCCATTCCAGCCCCTTTTCCCGGTTCCCATCTCCACCAGGTGGTGCCGCAGCACACGGGAAGCTCCTCATCCCCTCCCGCCACATCCCACAGTGTCACCTCCAGCCCGGTGCTCCCTCCCCTGGTGTCCCCACCCAGCCCTGCTTATTCCAGGAGCTGTGGGAGCAGCTGAGCCGAGCTCTGGCTTGGGCTGTTCCCTCCTGTTCCCTCTCTCTGCTCCTTCCACCCCTGGGTGTTAACGGGCTCTGACTCACCCTGTGTGCTGCCTGGAATGGAGAGTTAACACTTTCCAAAAGTAGAAATAAGAGCAAATTCACCCTTAAAAGAGAAGCTGGAAAAGCAGCAGGAAATCACTGGCTGTTCTACAAACCCACAGTGTGAGTAAAACTTAAAAGAACAGCTGCTAAATGGAGTATACACAAAGTATTTGTAGCCTCATTTAAACTGCTTTTCTTCTTGCACTTCATGCTGGGGGTTTTTCTTGGTGGTTTTTGTTGTTTTCCTTTTTTCCCCTTGGGTTTGATGGCAGTTTTTTAGTGTTTAGTGGGTTTTTTGTGTTTTTTTTGGAGTATTGTAACTCTGATATGTGGATATCATAAGGATGTGATATGATATCATATCATAAGGATGAGAAACTCTTTGCATGAAGCTGTTGCCTCATCTTTACTAAACAGTGTTTTTTCATAGAATCCCAGAATGGTTTGGGTTGGAAAGGCCCTTAAGGATCATCAAGTTCCAACCTCCTGCCATATCTTTATATTTGCTCTTGTTTCTGTGGGAAATAGGGATTGTACAGAGAAACAAAACAAATCTCCAAAGAGTAAAACTCAAATCACCTTTGTGTGGCACGTTTGGGTGAAGAGGTTAAAAATCAGAAAGAATTGGAAGTTATAGATGCAAAACTGCATCTGGCAAGTACCAGATTTCAGAAGTTCTTGGGAGCTCTTATTTTTATCTGATCCACTGAGAATTTTGGGGAGAAGCTGGGGAACAGCTAAAATCCCCCTGAGAGGAGTTAAGGAGTTCAGCCACTGCTGCTTATAGTGGGAGTAGAGAAGAGAAATCATAAAATCTGCTTGAAATTTTTACCAAGGAGCTCAGGTGTCGCTGCTTAAAAACCCAAGCAGGAACTTGCTCTGCACCTGCTTTGTTTGTTGGTTTTTAAATGCACTTTCCCCCCTGTTTAAAAAGGAGAGGAGGATTTTTATGCAGTGATTCTGTGTTTGTGCAGTTCTCTGGGAGTCACTGGTTCTCTGAACCTCCCCCAGCTGGGGGGAAAAGGAGGATTTTGAGGACAGACCATGTTCTGAGCAAAGTGTTTTCCCCTTCAATGGAGTTTTTCTTATATAAATGCCAGTGTGTGACACAGAACTAGATGGGCTGTGACAAGATGCCACTGCTGGTTTGGCAGGGCCTCCCTGCTGTTCCCTTAAGCATAAGGCAAGAGTTTGCCACTTGCCCAAGTCATTTCTTCCTTGTTCTTCACTGTGACAGCTCCTGTTAATGAGTTCTCAAGCTCTTCCCTGAACAAGCTTCCAAAAGTAAATCTGAATATCCCTTGGAGCAGATCTGGAACTTTCCAGGTACCTGAGCAGCTCACCATGTTCTGGAAGTGGTTGCAGCCATCCCAGAGCTCAGCTGGGGGAGCTCTTGGACTGCACTGCTGCAATTCCAGTGGTGCAGCCTGGCTTTACTCAAGGATGGCTCAGATGTTCACTCTGTTTTGCTGGCACCACCTCTGTGGAAATTTCCCAGCTTCCTTCATCCTTTTTATAGACTCTGTGACTCTGACAGTGATCATCTTGGAAGCACCTCAGGGAACAGCAGGAGTGTGGAGAGTTAGGAAGTCTACCAGTTTGGGTTCTGAGCTCTAAAATAAGAGGCAGAGTTATTGTTTGGCTGTCAGAGATATTTATATAGTGAAACCAAGGACTCTGTATATTGGTAGTATTCTGCTTCAAAACTGCCTGTTAAAAACCATAACTCTCCCTTGGTGTCTCCCATAAATTATCTTTATCTCTAATCCAGGCTGTCTCCCACAGCCCAGCTCTGCAGGGGAAGCTCTGTGGGAAGGCTGAGGAGCCACCAGCCCTGTTTCCATCCAAGGGGAAGGGGAGAAAGGAGTTGGGCTCCTTGAGGTTCCCTCCCAGACCTCATTCAAGTGGGTTCTACAAAAAAATCTCTATTATTTCACAGAACCCAAGAATTTTTAGGGTTAGAAGGGACCTCTGGAGATGATTCAGTCCAATCCCAGAGCAGGTGGCACAGGAATGTGTCCTGGTGGGTTTGGAATGTCACCAGAGAGGGAGACTCCACACCCTCCCTTGGCAGCTGTTCCAGGGCTCTGCCACCTCCATGGAAAGAGGTTCTTCCTCATGTTGAGGTGGAACTTCTTGTGTTTTAGTTTCTGGCCATTCACTGCTCCGTGTCCTGTCAGTGGGCACCACTGGAAAGAGTTTGGCACAATCCTATGGACACCCCTTGGAGATATTTATACAGATTGATAAGATCCCCTCTCAATCTTCTCCAAACTAACCAGGCCCAGCTCCCCCAGTCCCCCCTGACAGGAGAGATGCTGTGCAGGAGCTGAAGGACCTTCTCATGGAGCTCTTGTGGTATTTGGGACAACTTTGACACCTTGGTGACAAGGAATCTGTCTCCTGGGTCAGGGAGGATTCTTACTGAGTGTTTTGTGCCTTTCATTCCTGTCTTTGCAATGTTCCCTCTTACAAAACAGGTGCTTTGGGGCCTGTTGGGATTGCAGGTAAAATAAATGTCTGTGGCTCAACAACTCAAAGTGGCTTCTCTCTGCGACCTAATGAGCATCTGCTGGGTCGTGCAGCTCCTTGATTAATGTGTGTCTCTGTCACTGCAGAGAAGTGCTGCTGCCAACACTCCTGGTGCTGTTCCTTTCCATCAGCAGAGGCAGGACAGGCTGCAGCAGTCAGGGGTGTCTGCACAGGGTTGTGTCCCTGGGATGCAGCTTCAAAAATTATTCAGCAAAAGTGAAGCAGTCGAGCAGCAAAGGGTCACCCAGCCATGAGGGAGAGGAAAGGGGTAATGGAAAACAAGCTCTTTTCCTGCTTCTCACTAAATAATTTAGATTGCAATGCCTTTAGTTCTTAAATTCTGTTGTGCTGGCCCAAGAAGGAGGAGCACTGCTGTGTCTCCAGCCCTGGTTGTGCTGCAGGGACCTGCCCTGCCCCTTGGGTTGGACTCACCTCCTCCCAGAGATGCTGATCCCTCCTGATGTGCTGTTCCCAGGCCCATGCTCTGCTCCACACTGTGCTCACACTGCTGTTGTTTTCAACTGGAAAATCGCTCTGACAGGCTGAAGAGATATTATGGAAGGTGTGGGCACTTCCCATCAGACACCCCAGGAGCTGGGAGCTGTTGTGTAACCTCATGTGAAGCCCCTCAGGCAGCTGCCAGAGCGAGCCTTTGACTCGCTTTTTCTCCCTCAAATTACAATAAAATGTCCCTCTCCCATTAGGAATTTAATTACGACCCTTTCATGGTCTCCAACTTTTGAAAAAAACCTGAAATATGTTTCATTTTGCAGCCCTGTATTAAACCTCTGGTGGTGGGAATTTTTGCTGTATCAATTATACATATTATGTGTAATCACCTCGTGCGTTCCTATGCTGAGAGCTAAAATTGAGCATATTGTCAAGTGGAAACTCATTTTTATAATGACAGAAGCAACAAAACTGAATGCCAG